TTATATCGGCTGACGTTGGAGCACAGTTTGTTGTGTTGCAGGCTTGAAATTGGCGATGTACCCATGCTTGATTAGTACAACTAGGTAGGGATTATTTTTCCGTGCCATTCTTACTACAGTGTCGCACTAGCTATGCACATTAACGGAAGTAATTCTTTAAGCATTTGCAATTGTTGCTCAAATTGAGTATGCCACATTTCCAAAAGGTTTTGGTTAACGGCATATAAAATGTGCTGTGGACATAAATCGGTTCCTTTTTGGTTATGTGCATGAATCAGACTAAAAGCACGTTTGTCGGGCATACGAAAGCCACTACAAATACAAAACAAAACAGTTGCAAATTTTCAGGGACATTTTACCATCACACTCATTCCAAAGGTAGCAGGCAGCTTTCCATTATCTAGAAAATACACGAAACTTGCAATAGACGTGACTAGCCAGTTAACAAGAAGCCGGTTAAATGGTTTCCAGATCGAATGTGCCTACTTGAGTTCTTTTTCCTAAAAAAAATTCGTATGGTCTTTTACTCGGCAAAAGCTTCCTCCTCGGACACAAATGCACGTGCATTGTCATTTCTTTAGTTTCATTTGCTTACCTGTATGTAACACAGATTTGGCAGGTTGTTTTTTTTATATCTGAAAAGAAAATAATATTCCTCACAAAATGTCTTCCTGTACGTATTGCTTTTGGTGTTCAAGTCACAACATAACAGTGTTAGTGATCTTCTAAACGTTTTCGCCCGAAGTTATGGTGTTATGTGGTGGAGGGTGTTCTCTTTCAACAGGTTTACCTAAAGTATCAACATTCCGGGCCTTCCCTTTGGAACAGGTGAGGAAAAACTCGAGAAATCTGTCTTAATGTAGATTTGTGTTCAGTGACACATTTACACGTAAAAACTTTCGGTTTTGAAGTTCCAGACACCAAAATGCAATAAAAAATCGATTTTTTATACGACAACCTTTTGTGTTCAACACGTTTTGTTCCATCATTCGTCTGCGCAGTGGGTGTGTCCTCTCGTTCTGCCAATTTTTTTTAGAATTTCCATTTCTGTTTCTCTGACTGCTTTTGATTTTTCGTGATAAACGCTTTCATTCTTTTAAGACTGAAATATTTGCTTGATGAAAAGTTCTTTTCACACAACCAATAAAATTTTCTATGTGACGTTTCGATGACTAGTACGATATGTACACTGTCACCTCCATCGTACAAATGACCAGTGAAGCGTATGCATTACTGTAAATAACTCGTTCTCTTTATAGTTAGTTTGACGTTGCAAAAAGGCAGTGCATTATCCATATTTCTACGGCTAATTTTCTCAGTGTGTCTGATGCCGAGTTCATTTTGGATTCCCTTTATTATTGACCAATCATCATTATAAATCTCTATTGTCGCCTGATTGTGCTGAAAAAGCAGTTACCGTCACCGTTAATTGATCTCCTCTATAAACCGTAACTTGCAAACAGTACAACTAGAGTTTGTGTGGTAATTCCTAAGAACATTCTACTACCATTAGCCCTCCACCACTGGGTCGCAGGTTAGAGACCGACGTGGAGCAGTCGCCAGGTACTGGCCGTATGGGCTATCGTGCACCACCTGACACGTCCTTAATCATAAATTCCCAACGCTGTTAATAGGACGTAAACACAAAAAAAAGCCAAACAAACGTTCAAATCTGTCTGAAATTCGGGAACTTTAGCTTTTGTGCATTATTTTATCTGTTTCCGGATTGTTAGCCATCAGAACATGTTTCTTTTGTTGCTGAGTAAATATGTTTTCGTTCCATCATTTGTGAGATGGTTTTTTTGTTTGGTTTTCCTCACCTTCTCCGTTTTCTTCTTTGACGTAGATAATGGATCTTTTACCAAGAAACTGCTGTCTAACATCAGCCATATTGAGGGCTTCCTATTTTCGAATTTTCGAATTTAGAAGAGCATGTCAGGTCGCAGTGTCAACCATCCTTTCGCTCTGTGCACCCCTGGAATATGTCATAGCAAAATCCAAGGCTTTGTACATCAAAAGAATCTCGCGGTCGCGTAACGGTAAAAATTGACTTGCTTGGAAGTTGGGTGTCGCTCCTCTCTAATCTTCAAAGGATACGTATCAGCCTAGCGATTGGTCAGGTTTTTTTCTCTACCTGAGACCAATCAAAAGGCTGTCTTTGTGCCTTCAATTTTGCTATGACATATTCCAGGGGTGCAGAGAGCGAAACTAGCGTAACCCCTGGAGTATGGAGGATGCAATGCCAACTAGACACATATAATTAGGACAGAATATTTTGATTCAGAACCTTGAGGTGGGCATAACTTTTTGATATAAGAGTACTAACCCATTTTTTAACCTGTGTGTAAAATCTGTTTAAATGTCAAATGGATATCAGTCCGAATTATTGTGACGGTCAGAATAATTCGGACTAATGGACATGCGTTGCGGAGGCTAATTACCGTGTCTAGGGCCATGTTCTTTCGGGGATAAAATCAAGTTTTCTTTTGAAGAAATTTCGTTTCAAAGATGAAGTATTCCTGTTTAAGTGTTATATAAATTATGTATCATCATATTGGGAAAATATTGCCTAATAATCTTATATTTATATTAGGGCTTGCATGCTTTTAGTTACCACGTTATTAAACAAGAATTCCACAGGAGTGGATGTGTCGCCTGCAGTCAGTGTGGAGTTTTGAGGTTGATCGACCTAAGGAAACTGGACTTATCGCACGGAAACAGTTTTTCTATTTATATAGTAACGGCGACACCTTTTGATTTTCGGACCTGAAAAGCAATCCCCATAGCAATCACTTTTAGTAAGAAATTGAGTTCATCGCACGGAAACATATTTTCTATTTATAGTAATGGTGATCTTAACCTTTGACCTTCGGACTTTAAAAGCAATCCCAAGCAAGCATTATTCCTAAGGTAGCACTGTATGAAGCATGAAATTGCAAAAAAATATCATCATCGCTTTAAAAATGCCTGTAAAAAGGAGTGAGGGTGGGGTGGGGTCTGGACCCCAGGAACTCCTCTCCTCCCTGATCCGCTCCGTTCCGATACGATACCAGGTAATTAATTGGTGCGGGAGATTAGCAATTTGTATTCTTCGATGTCATCCACGTCAATTGTATGAAGGATGTTAAGAATGTCCTGACTTTTGAAGATGATGATAAGTGGCAGTTTCCTTTGTGGGATGACACAAACAATGTAAATGGCCTGTCACTAGCGATTATGTAAAATCTGTTCATCTCAAATGTAAAAGAAACATTTTATTTAACTCTATATAGATGTGGTTCTTTGCCCCTTGATATTGAAAAGGGTAGGCACGCCCGACCTGTGATTCCTGTCAATACTAGGTTATGTAAATTGTGCAACAATGATGTAGAAAACGAGTATCATTTTTAATGGAATGTATATTTTATGATGATCTTAGATCTATAATTTTAACGAAAACAAACAATATACATCCATATACATTTTTCAATGATATGAACAAGTTTGAACAGTATATGTAATGTGTGAACCAGTTCTCCAAAGAACGCTAGCTACCCAACTTTCTCTTATGTGGAGGAGATGAACTATGTTTCTCCCATATTAAACTAAGTATTATAATTAGATGTGCAGGTATGGGGTGGGGGATATATAATTTCTCGGTAGGGATAGGCCCAAGCACTTTTGTATATATATCTTATCCTGTTGGGGTACATGGTATATATATATGCAAATTATAGTCATGCTACTAATAAAATATTTATCCAGCACAACTGTTTTTACAAAGACTGGTTAATAACATCACTTGTCTGAAGATAGTAAATAGTGTGATTGTTCTTATAACGTGTATAATAAGTCATTTTGGCTAGACACATTTTATATTCAAAGGTATATATGTGTTGTGATTTTATGAACACTACGTGTTTGACACGAAAATAAAATATTTGAACTTGAACTTGTCATTCATATCAACACACTATATATATTGACTACTGTTACAACCCGTAAAAGTTCGGGGAAAGAATAGGTCTGCGGTATCACACTACATGATCGTAGGAGGCGACTAATGACCTTTGACCTTCGGACCTGAAAAGCAATCACAGCAAGCACTATTCGTAAGGTAGCACTGTATGAAGTATGAAATTGCAAAAAAATATCATCATCGCTTTAAAAATGCCTGTAAAAAGGAGTGCGGGTGGGTGGGGTCTCAAGAATTTCCCCCACCGAAGTCTTCTTTGACTGTTCTAAATAAAGCTCTAGGATTGGCTAACAAAAGAGCGATTTAGTATCGGCAATCGAATCACGCATACCAGTGTGGTGTGCCCTAGCGATGCAATACAGTATAATTCAAATCAATGAAACTTTGATACTTGATACTTTTTCACGTAAAAAAACGTTTTCTGTACTTCAAAGAGAGAAGTTGAAAAAAAAATTGACGTACTGGCAAAGTGAAAATTAAAAGTCGGTTTTTTTGCACTTATAAGTACAAAAAATGACACAATGGCATACATAAACCTTTTGTCATTATGTAGTAATCATTAAATATGTTTTCCCTTGCACTTAAATACAACAAAACTTGAAATATGTACTTTTTGGCATTACTTAGTAATCTTTTAATAATCTTTAATTTGTTCTTTTGCATTTCAGAGCAAGAAAATAGTGTTTTTTTTAATGAAGTGTAAAAGTGTAAATCTTTCATCCTGGTGGTGTCTCCCGAGGGCCTTTATACACAACAAAAAGACTAATGTAGCGTTGTGTACATTGGCTATAGCTATCCATATGATAACACGGAATTATATTTGCTTTATAAATACGCGGTTACAACATTTTTGTATGAAATTTTAAACAAGACTGCACTTGTGTTTTGCTATGTAGCCAAACAAACATTTGCAGATTAAAAAAAAAAAGGAAAGAAAAAAGACTGTCTCCGCTGAGCGTCGAACACCTTTTCCCGTTCACAAGGTAAGCGTCTCAGGTGTGTCATCGGTAGGTGAGGCCACAGGTGTGCCGACTGTTTTCTGTACTCTTTAGTGAAGAGTTCCACTTTGTCATTAGCCGGGATTTAAAACAAACTACAAGCTGCCGATTGTAAGTATTCCAGCTACCGGATTGGGATTTAAATACCTGTGCTTGAACTCTATCAATCCGGTTTATATATTTACAATTAGAGATCTGTTCACACTCGGCTGTGATATAATCGTTCAATAGATCCCTTTGATACTCATTGATTTTATCACGGACTTAGATCTAATTCCGTGATTTTATTTACAAATATATCCGGTGTCTCATTTGAAAAATATATGTGTTATGAAAACTTCCACTCGATGTTTTCGCTCACCTGTAGCTACCCTTAGTTTTTATTATATCATTCAGGTATTTCAACTGTTTGTTATGTAATTGTACGTCTTGTAAATAACCACGGACTTAGACAATCTAATTCCGTGATATAACATGAAAAAAATAGTACAATGATTTTTAAAAACAATACTGTGAATTTATTTTTTTTCTCTTCTTTACCCAAAATCATATTAGTTTCTGTGATGTTTAACATGAATAAATAGTATTAACATGTTTTCCTTGGTATTTTAAACACCATTATATTCTTCCATCGATAATAATGATAACAGTTGGCAAAACCCCAAAAAAGAACCGGTTAATTCTGGGTTTTGTAACTTTTATCTCATGACTCATATGTAACACTTTTTGTTTCAGGTTTTACAGACCATCCAGTGACAATGCTGCCCAAAGGTTTACTAAGGGTTCTCCTTGGTATCACAAATGTCCTCTTCTTTGTAAGTCTAACACATTTGATGTAAAGTGAGCTTTGTCGGAGCGAAATACTTATATTAAGATAATTTAGTCCATAAAAAATATATTTTTAGAAAGTTCTACCAAAATCAATATAGTCACAATGTACAAAAAATAAAAAAAAATAATAAACATACATATGCCTCCATGTATATTTTTTTCTATAACTATAAACAGACCAATATAATTGTCATTAGAAATTCATTTCTGGAATATTAACATGCAGTGCTTTTATTGTATTCATGGCTATAAATAGCTATATTGAAACACTGTGTTGTACACAGAGACCTCTCTATGGTCATGACCTCAACTTTCAAAATACACTGCCGTTTGTTCAGGGCATTATCTCGAGCAAAGCTTTATGTAACATATATATATGGGCCTTGAGAATTTAATAATGCTGTGTCTCATACTGAAATAGGAACACTGAAAGCTCAACCTCCATTTGACCTTTGAACTTGACATCACAAATTGAAATATTTCAATTGAAGCATATCTATGCAAATAATTCCTATATTGAGTTCAGATTTAGTATGAAGTACCTGTACAACATTTGACGGCACTTTCTTGTGTATTAAAATGGAAACACTGTGGCTTCTTTTTGACCTTTAACCTTGACCTTTATAAATACCATAATAAACGATTTTGTGACATACTTTGTCCAACAATTAATGCAGAGAGATCAAATTTCTATGCATATGCATCATGGTAAAGTATTGTGTCATGTACCATAATGAGGCCACTCTAACCTCAATACTCGATTGTTTCGTATTAAAGCATGTCCGTGGCAGGGATATCCTACATCAATCTACTGTACAAGTATGTGACTGAGATTTATTTTGTTGTAAGTGCTGTGTTACTTTTATAGCACGTTTTGCATATTTACGATGTATTAACAGATTGCTGGCGGAACAGCCCTGGGTGTGGGCGTGTGGTACTCCATGGACAAATTGTTCATAGCCGATATCATTGGAACAGACTTGTTCTCCGCGGCCTCCTACCTCTTTGTCTTCTGTGGGGCCTGCATTGTCATCCTAGCATTTGTAGGATGTGCAGCCACAGTTTTTGAGAGCAAGAAGATGTTGATATTGGTAAGTAACATATCTGTATGTTCACAAACTTTTAAGCTACATATTGGGTAAATATTTGATCTTGTAATCCTAAAGGAGAATTGATTATTAGTACACAGTGTATCGGTGATAATGGACAAGCTCTGTTACTCAGGATTAATTATCCAGCAGACGTGAAAAACAAAACAGCACATTATGTCCTGATAACTCTATAAACAGTTTTATCTGAATATTTTACAGGAGTAGTTCAAATAATTGATGTGATATTGCATCATACAACTTCTTAACTTGACCTGTTAGTGTTATACATGTAGTATCGTATTTGTCACTTGAGATAGTGAGAGAATATGGTGTCATACTGTAACTTGAAATGGTGACCTGATATGGTGTCTTACTGTAACTTGAGATGGTGACCTGATATGGTGTCATACTGCCACTTACGATGGTGACCTGATATGGTATCATACTGTCACTTGAGATGGTGACCTGATATATGGTATCATACTGTCATTTGAGATGGTGACCTGCTATGGTATCATACTGTCACTTGAGATGGTGACCTGATATGGTATCATACTGTCACTTACGATGGTGACCTGATATGGTATCATACTGCCACTTACGATGGTGACCTGATATGGTATCATATTTATCACTTTAAGTGACCAGATACGGTATCAGACTTGTCACTTGAAATGTAGACCTGATATGGTATCATACTTATGACTTAATGTGACCTGATATGGTAAAATACTGTCATTTGAGATGGTGACCTGCTATGGTATCATACTGTCTCTTGAGATTGTGACCTGATATGGTATCATACTGTCTCTTGAGATTGTGACCTGATATGGTATCATACTGTCTCTTGAGATTGTGACCTGATATGGTATCATACTGCCACTTACGATGGTGACCTGCTATGGTATCATATTTATCACTTAAGGTGACCAGATACAGTATCAGACTTGTCACTTGAAATGGTGACCTGATATGGTATCATACTTGCCACTTAAGGTGATCAAATATGGTATCATACATATGACCTAAGGTGACCAGATATGATATGATACTTGTACTTTAAGGTGACTTGATATGGTATAATGCTTTTGACTTAATGTGACCAGATATGGTATCATGATGTCATTTGAGATGGTGACCTGATATGGTATCATACTGTCTCTTGAGATGGTGACCTGATATGGTATCATACTTGTCACCAAAGGTGACCAGATATGGTATCATATTTATCACTTAAGGTGACCAGATACGGTATCAGACTTGTCACTTGAAATGGTGACCTGGTGTGGTATCATACTTGCCACTTAAGGTGACCAAATATAGTATCATACGTATGACTTAAGGTGACCAGATATGGTATCATGATGTCATTTGAGATGGTGACCTGATATGGTATCATACTGTCTCTTGAGATGGTGACCTGATATGGTATCATACTTGTCACCAAAGTTGACCAGATATGGTATCATATTTATCACTTAAGGTGACCAGATACGGTATCAGACTTGTCACTTGAAATGGTGACCTGGTGTGGTATCATACTTGCCACTTAAGGTGACCAAATATAGTATCATACGTATGACTTAAGGTGACCAGATATGGTATCATGATGTCATTTGAGATGGTGACCTGATATGGTATCATACTGTCTCTTGAGATGGTGACCTGATATGGTATCATACTTGTCACCAAAGTTGACCAGATATGGTATCATATTTATCACTTAAGGTGACCAGATACGGTATCAGACTTGTCACTTGAAATGGTGACCTGGTGTGGTATCATACTTGCCACTTAAGGTGACCAAATATAGTATCATACGTATGACTTAAGGTGACCAGATATGGTATGATACTTGTCATTTAAGGTGACCAGGCTGATATGGTATCATACTTGTCATTTAAGGTGACCTGATATGGTATCATACTGTCACTAATGATGGTGACTAGATATGGTATCATACTTGTCCCCCAAGGTGACCAGATATGGTATCATATTTGTCTCTCATGGTGACCAGATATGGTATGATTTCTATCTCTCAGGGTGACCAGATATGGTATAATTTTTATTTCTCAGGGTGACCAGATATGGTATCATATTTGGGTGAATACCTCGGTATGCTATCATGCTTGTCATTGTGTTGCTTGATGTTGAATAAAGGCATGCTCAATGGTTATTGTGTTTTCTTTTTTCAGTACCTTTTCCTTGTCATCCTCATTCTCATAGTGTTTTTATCAGCTGCAATCATAGCTGCCGTGTTCCAAGGCGAGGTAAGTTATTGAAGCAGTAAAACAGAAGACAAATGGTCTTCGTTAAATAGCATCGCCAAAATTCAAGAGTGTTCAGTGAATTTCTGCCACTGCTGAAGAAGAAATTATTTCATTTAGTGTATATTATCAATTTTACTGTCAATACAATGCATCAAAGATTTAACATTAGCTAGCACACACTATTATTTACATATAAATTTAGCTGTATTATGAATGAAACATTAATTTCTGATGAGTCACAAGTGAGGAATGTTGATGTTCAGTTAAGACAACTTGTTTGGTTTGCAATAGGAAAAGTTTTGGTGCATAACCCATAAAGACCAAATGTTCTACAGTATATGCTGATGTTAATTACAGTTAACAAGTTCTCTGGTAAGCAGAATGCAGACTACAATGAAAAACAGTTATGGCAACCAGGTCAATTCAAATGAAGAAAATAGGAGAATCACAGAAGCCTGGAATTTTGCACAGAAGACGGTTAGTATATTATGCTGTAAAAAGGGAAAGGTTTGTTTTGTGACTTTCAAACTCATTCACCCCTGAAATTTCATAATGAACTTTTCCAACCTTTTAATTGGAAGAGTTCAAATGTGTCTTCAGGGGTGAATGAGTTAAACTGGTTGTAATGTGGACTTTTTATGTGAACAATGTTGTTCTGAAATATAATCTATAAATGAATATTCACATGTGGGTATTTTCGAACTAAGCATTTCCACATTGCAAAATTTTTCTCTAGCACAGTGAATAATCACATTAATTTGTCAACGTCTTGATTACAAATGAGATCCTGTAAGACTTGATTACAAATGAGATCCTGTAAGACTTGATTACAAATGAGATCCTGTAAGACTTGATTACAAATGAGATCCTGTAAGACTTGATTACAAATGAGATCCTGTAAGACTTGATTACAAATGAGATCCTGTAAGACTTGATTACAAATGAGATCCTGTAAGACTTGATTACAAATGAGATCCTGTAAGACTTGATTACAAATGAGATCCTGTAAGACTTGATTACAAATGAGATCCTGTAAGACTTGATTACAAATGAGATCCTGTAAGACTTGATTACAAATGAGATCCTGTAAGACTTGATTACAAATGAGATCCTGTAAGACTTGATTACAAATGAGATCCTGTAAGAAAAGTTTTTCACTGGGCTACAAGTTTGCCATTTTTTACAGTTACAATGTTTCAGCAAAAAAATAAAACCCAAAATTAATAGCAAATTAATCTATCATCATGTGCCAGGACTACATGTACAAGGAAAACTTCGACTTTTACCAATCTATATTAATCGCCTTACAGATCATTTTTCAGAGTGGATCATATAACAGTTACTGTATCAGAAAATCACATGTGGTGCTGTTATTACTCTGCATAGCAGCCTGAATATAGGATTACGATATTAACTGACTCCTTTTCCGTTACAGTTGAGGTGCTGTGCTGTAAATGACAATGGTTATGGTATTTATAGGGAAACACAGTGGTACCGCGACCAAGTCGGTCAGGGTAAGACAATTTCTATAAAAACTGGGCTTTTTTTACGCTTAAGCTTCACGTAAACATCAAAGAGCTGAATAATTAATGACTTATTATGAAATTACCGGTTCATTTAATGATTGAACGTCTGTCAGATTGAAGTTACAGCCAATATGAATGCAATCTGGGTGACAGATAAATGACGTCCGTGCAATCTGACAGATGTTCAATTGTTATATTTACATTTCCTCATACGTCCTGTCTTTATTAATCAGCCTCAAATGGCCATAATATCAGACTGAAAACTTTCCAAACACCCGTCGCCATTAAAAAAATGTAACCAGGCGACAGCTCTTAAATGCAGATAAATGCTCTAATTGTATGTGCAGAAAATTCTATTACAGAAGTAAGAACTTATCTTCCTATTCTGGATGTCTTCGTTGTCTGCAAAACCTGTCAAAATGCGACTTTTATGAACCAAACCAAACAACAACAAGATGGTGGCTTATCATATCGGTGGGAGTGATGCTATCACTGACGCCACAGAAACCATGGTCATGTGACCATTTAATGCAGACTGCAGTTACTGTCTAGTAAAAGCAGGCTGACTTTCCATAGAGTTAATGGAAAATGGGAAGGGCATATGTAAATAAAGCTGCTAATTGATGCTCTGCATGTAATTCTTGCTCAAATAGTCATTAATGCACTTCCTCTTCCATCAAAAAACTTACTTCTTCACTCAGAATATGGGCTCAGATTTTGACTAGTGTATGCAATAATATTTGATTTTTTTAAATTTCAGCGATAGACTTGTCCCAAGTGAATTTCATCCCTATATCTTGTTGTGTGTACTTGGAACACAGACAGAAATACCAGAACGCTGATCTATGTCAGAGAAATCCCTACGGTCCTCCAAACAACCCAGACCCAAACTCGTCCAAAAATGACCACATGTACTATGAGGTAAGTATTTCGTGTGTACTTCATCCTTAGTAATGTTGCTTGATGTTTTCTTTCATCATAAAATTGTTTGGGATGAGTGATGACTTGTCATATTAATTCACATACTTTCGTAACGAAGGCTTCACTGGTCAGGTTGTGTATTAAATAACATCATTCATAAATATCAACCACTTAAGTTCGTGATCACTGTTTTCTATACAGTTTAACCTATCAACTCTTTCCGTATCACAACGCTGGTCTGAAATCTGTACCAGTTGTTATGTATGAGCCATGTAACAAACTGGCAGATTATCAGTGTGATTTTTAATGAGGTATGTGTAACTTGTGTAAGAATTAAACATGTAACTGAACAAATGTTATCGTTTAATGTTGCTGTTATAGGACATGCACATCTTCATTTTTGCATTATGACTAACTGACAGCTGATTATGACTATGAAATCAACCTGTGTTTGGCAATGAACGATGCATTTCATTGTCTTCAAAATACAGCTTTGTAGCGCAGGTCCACAATAGGGATTGATTTTGGATACAAAAATGTTTAGTTTTCTAAATACAGGTAGATTTAATAATGATTTATGGCAAAATATCCATAATTACTTGCAAAAGTTTAAACATGTATTTGGTGATGAATTTTTGAGTGTTCGTATCAAATGCACCTGCCACTACGTTGTTTATATTGGTGACCACCAATACAATCTTGCGGGGCATTTGCAAAAAATAGGTCACATAATGAAAAATGTGTACTCTGCAACTTTTTTCTTATGAACTGATGGGTTCGAATTTTGGCGAGAATTATTTGAAATACATGACTGTTGTGTGCTAATTAGAAGACAGGTAACAAAAAAGTCTCTTGTCGTGTGTACATGGTAACAAAAAAGTCTCTTGTCGTGTGTACAAGGTAACAAAAATGTCTCTTGTCGTGTGTACAAGGTAACAAAAGGTCTCTTGTCGTGTGTACATGGTAACAAAAAAGTCTCTTGTCGGGTGTACAAGGTAACAAAAGGACTCTTGTCGTGTGTACATGGGAACAAAAAAGTCTCGTCGTGTGTACAAGGTAAGAAAAAAGTCTCTTGTCGGGTGTACAAGGTAACAAAAGGGATCTTGTCGTGTGTACAAGGTGACAAAAAAGTCTCTTGTCGGGTGTACAAGGTAACAAAAAAGTCCCTTGTCGTGTGTACATGGTAACAAAAAATTCTCTTGTCGTGTGTACGAGGTAACAAAAGGTCTCTTTTCGTGTGTACATGGTAACAAAAAATTCTCGTCGTGTGTACAAGGTAAGAAAAAAGTCTCTTGTCGGGTGTACAAGGTAACAAAATGTCTCTTGTCGTGGGTACAAGGTAACAAAAGGGATCTTGTCGTGTGTACAAGGCAACAAAAATGTCTCTTGTAGTGTGTACATGGTAACAAAAAGGTCTCTTGTCGTGGGTACAAGGTAACAAAAGGGCTCTTGTCGTGGGTACAAGGTAACAAAAGGGCTCTTGTCGTGGGTACAAGGTAACAAAAGGTGTCTTGTCGTGGGTACATGGTAACAAAAAATTCTCGTCGTGTGTACAAGGGAACAAAAAAGTCTCGTCGTGTGTACAAGGTAAGAAAAAAGTCTCTTGTCGGGTGTACAAGGTAACAAAAGGACTCTTGTCGTGTGTACAAGGGAACAAAAAAGTCTCTTGTCGGGTGTACAAGGTAACAAAAGGGCTCTTGTCGTGGGTACAAGGTAACAAAAATGTCTCTTGTCGTGGGTACAAGGTAACAAAAAATTCTCGTCGTGTGTACAAGGTAACAAAAAAGTCTCTTGTCGTGTGTACATGACATCGGGGATGAGATATTATTTTGTTGTCTCTTAAACAACAAAAGGGACCAGGAAACACATATTTTTGTCGTCTGTAGGCGACAATGGTATGGAGAGACTTGAAGAGTTAACTCATTCACCCCTGAAATTTCATAATGAACTATTCCAACCTTTTAATTGGAAGAGTTCAGAAGTGTCTTCAGGGGTGAATGAGTTACGTATCAAATCTGCAGTAGATGTACAATTTTGGTTTAGAGAGGAGGTACTTGTCAAATGCAATCTTGTTAAAACTAGTAACATTTATGAACAAACTGCAATACATGATAGTTTTGCTTATGAGACACAGTTAATGCCAATGCAGCAATCTCTTTGACTCGGTTACATTTGTATGTGGACTTGACATTATGTTTTTCTCATTCAAGGGTTGTCTGACTGCAGCAAAGAATTTTGGTGAAGAAAATGCCGGAGTTATTCTTGCCATTGGATTTGGATTTTCAATTGTCTTCGTAAGTCATCGGCGTTCCTGGTTTCATGTTTAATATTTACTTGTTACATATAAGGAGATATATTTTTATATTGTTGATACTTATCAATTCGTAAAGTTGTTTTCATATCAGAGCACTAATTCATATGGTCCTATATAAATTGGCATATCTGTGTACAATACTTTAATATACCTGTACTGTATATTTCAATAGAAATTATTGAAAAAATTTACCCAGTAAATTTTCATGTTGGTACCTTTTGACTTTACTGTTATTCTCTAGGATCTGTTCATAGTCCACTGTTCTTTTATAATCGTGTCTATATTTTCACATCTTCTGTAGAAGTTTGATTTATATTTGAAAATGACCAATGAATTGACAAATTACTGTAGTTATTATAGGAGTGTTTCAATTGGGTCGCATTCACGTATCCAGCCGGGTTGAATTGGTTCAGGCGGCACAAAACTATTCCATGACAAGCGAACACACTTTGCCCTAATTGTAGACAGAGCTAAGAATGCACGGTTTCGGAGAATAATTAATAACATATCAAGAATAACAAGTCCTCCTTTCATGCATTCACTAAATTATATAGCATATCTTAAAATTTACATGTGGATTGATCTCGTTTAATGAAGAAGTAACACTAGCTAGCAATAGTCAGCATTTTAGTTTCGGTCAGGTACATCTGAACCCCTCAATCTATATGTACCGCACATTCCTGAGGTCAGCCTCTGTTCAGAGCTGAGTCTGTCGCTTTCTTTCAGGTTACGCTAAAGTGGCCCTGGCATTGCCCTTACAAATCAGATCCAGACTGCAAATAATTACCCTCCATAGGTTTTATTGTACATGTAAACATATTTTATTTGATACAATCAAAAATAATTTGACACAAAGTTACAACAACTCATAAGACATCTTCCTTGAAACACATAAATATTTAGTTTGTCCTTTGCTTTTTCAGATCGCAGGTATTGTTTTATCCATCCTGCTCTTGAGACAAATGTCTGAGTTTGATCCAGTCAGCACAAAAGTTATTTGAACCTGAGCATTTGCTGTTCGTTGGATGAAGTGCCAAATCACCATGACAGTACGCCTTAGTGGAGAGGTCTTTTGCATTGCAAATAATTGAAGGCGCATCAAACAAGTTGGGTTACAATCGTAGCAAATAAATCTCTTGTTTTATGGTTATTTCATTGAGAAGAAGCAATATTCTACAACTGTAAACAAGTTTTTTTCCTTCTTCTTCTTAGAGAAAATATTTACCTGGAGAACAAGTCATATTTAATACTCGAGATTTGAACCAGTATGATAACTATTTTTTATGTTATTCACGTTTCTGAAGGCATTTATTGATATGACCTACTTACTTGTACTGATTGGAGCATTGACGTTGCTTTTCTTTATTATGATGCCTTCTCAAAGAGTTTGGTTGTAGGACTTACTACTAATTAAATAAATTTAATATAAACGTAGACATGTTAATCTGCTGTAAATTTATAATATTTTCAATAAAGGCCATTTCGTTTGATTAAACTAAACTTTTAAATATCAAATAGTTTTAAAAAAATAAAAAAGTAACATTTCAGCAATGTTGATCAAAAGTAAACACTAGATTGCAAAATAAAAATAATAATAAAAAAAGAATAAGATGGCGCAATAAGTAAAATCATTGGCATTGTGTAGCTAGATCAACAGTTAAAATCATTGGCATTGTGTAGCTAGAACAACAGTTAAAATCACGAAAAATTGGCCACAAAAGATCAATTGTTAGAGTGTCTGTAAGAAGACCGTGACTTTGTTTGAGATCTTTGACTGGGTCACGTCAAAAGTAAAAGAATACTGATATGTGGCTCCCCTAAGCCTTCTCCCAGTGCTGTCCGTTTTATGGCACTCACTAAAACAGTAATAATTTAGATGTGATAAACATAAAGAAAGTAAATTTGTCTGATGTGATTCTTTTTAAAAATCATGAATGAGACAGCAATATGAAGTTGAAAAATGGTGTGACCTTGGTGCATTATAATGATGGCTTTTTTGACAATACTAAATATCTGTATAATCTTATAAGTAGGTAAATGAAATGTCATTTTACCTAATGTATAATCTGTTTTGTGGTAGACCGTAGTCATTGTTTTAAGATAACAGCAATTTTCTAAATAAATGGCAGATTTTGTTTTTCTTGGAAATTTAATATGTATGTAATTAATTTTTGAGAACCTCTTTGATCTAATTCAAGACTAGGTTGAGTGTTTGTGTTCTATGTTCTTAATTCAATCAAACGTCCCCTTAGTCATATAAATTATGTATTAAACAAATTGCTTTGTGACATATGTATGACCTAAAGGTCAAAGTTCAGAAGAGAATATGTATGTTGTAATTGTAAATGTTTTTTTTATTGTTGCCAATGAATTGTGCTTTGTCTTAAATTGATAATTTTATCTTATATGAACCAAAAGGCCATGTGAACCTGTGCTATGGTGTAACTTCCAACGTTTCCTTTAAAATACTACTAGTCCAGAACTGCAGAAGGGATTTTGACCTAATTTGGCATCAAGCTTACAGGGTTAAGGAATTAGTTTTGTCTTTAAGAATTAACTCCATTAAGTACACCTGAAGTAATTTTGACCTAATTTGGCATCAACTCTCCCTTGGAAACAAGAGTTCAATGTTCTTTACAAGGCAGTGCCCAAAAATTAGAAATATAAATAAATATTTAAAAGACTACTCCCTCAGTGTGACTGAATGGATTTTGACCTAATTGGCATGGATTATCCATAGGCCAGATAAATCAATGTTGTATTAATGGAAATGTGAGCCTAAAAGGGCAAATGTAGATGATTTTTTTAAACAAAAACACACCTTAAGAATGGGAGAAAGAATTTTGATCTGATTTGACAGAGTATCCCTGGGCCAAGATAACTCAATGTTGCACAGAATGCAGACATTTTATACTAATTCTCAAGTCCATCTCATTTTGAACACAATTCTGTCTTCATTCAGTTAGTACCAGAACCATGGAAGGCACACTGATTTTGTACAAATGTTCCTGTCAATTGACTTATCAAAATGAAGTTATATTAATTCTTGAAGTCAATAAGAAAAGCTAGCATGTGCTACCATGATCTTCTGGTCTATTTCTAGTAACAGGTGAGAGGTACAGGCCCATTGGACCTGTTGTTTATGGATATTATGTTGAATATTGTGAACATAGAGCATTGTTGGTGACTGTTGTTTAATATTGTATGTTTTGCAGCAGTATTTATGGATAATGTGACAATTTGTTATTATATCATATTAAGTCAGTACACGTTCCCTATATATGTATGTCGCGGATACACAGATGTCAAAGATCATCTCGAATATCTTATAAATATTCAGTGGAATTAATTCACTAATATATTTGTGAATCAATGCTTTTTGTAGTTGTTTTGTCATTATCAATACTGTAGTTAACTACAAAGTCCATTTCTGTATTTGATGAGTAAAGAAATCTTAACTCATTCACCCCTGAAATTTCATAATGAAATATTCCAACCTTTGATTTGGAAGAGTTCAAATGTGTCTTCAGGGGTGAATGAGTTAATTCTGTATAATGTATTCAAAATTGAGTGTTAAATAACCAACATCATATGTGTGTAGAGGAATTCTTTCATTCTCCATCTAAGGTAAAGACAAATAAAGTAATAGAGCAGAGAAGTGACTTCTGAAGCCAAGATCCCATAACTGTTATCATCCTTTTTGCAGATTATCCGGTAGTTTCGGCAGACCGTCCTCAAACACAGCTTTATGGTGATTAATTTAAAGTTATAGCGATATATTTGATAAAAAACATCCTTTTGTGTCTCTATGATAATGATAATATGATAATTAATGTCAGTTTCTTGAAATATGAAGTAATTTACTAATTATATAAAGTGCTAGGCGAAAAAATAGACACCGAGCAAGTGTAAAATATGAGGAATTTACAATTATAAAATTTTCATCAGGATTTTAAGAAGAATGTCAGATTGTTAAATTCATTTACATTAATGACTGCATTTTCATAAACCAATAATTTATTATCTTTATTATAATTTCCTGTCAATAAAAATAATCATTTTGATGTAAAAATTCATGAATGACCCAACCCTATTCTCAGGTGAAATTCTTCACATCTGTTGGTAAATACTTTATTCAAGACACATTTACGGGTATTTTATTTTGAAATAGTTTTTAAACATGTCATTTATAAAGCTTCAATCTAAATAAACAAACTTCACTTTTAACTTAAAAATAATCATTATTACGACTCGGAGAAGATGGATGAACATATATGAGCACTAACTTGCTTTTTTCCCTCAAAACCTTTCATGACACTTATAAAAATAATTTCAAGGAATATTATTAGAAATAGAATATTATTGTAGGCACTGTGTGCAGGGTATTAACATATTATTTAAACTATTAAAATTAAACGTTGAAAATATCCATAGAACATCCCAAGGTTGTGTGTAGAGGGGATTGGTGTATATCTATGTTGGTATTTTTCTCCCTCTATCCAGACTATACATTTACTTGTGTTATAATTGCAAACGTATACCAAACCAGGTAGATTTTCTTTTTTAACAGCAGTATTTTATGATGTTTTTATACAGTTCCTTGCCCATTTCCAGGGTTATATTTGTCCATTAAAAATGTTATTAATAGCATTTTTGTCTTTGTTCTTACTTGGTTGGTTATGAGTGGTTTTCACATCTTAAGACCTATAACAATAAGAGTTTCAATAGAAAGATGAAAAACTAGAACAAGAGGCCCATGGGCCTTAACGGTCACCTGATATATTTATACAGAGAGTTGATTTTGTTTTTAACATGAACAGAAATATTATTCAAAGTGACAAAAAACAACAAAACCACCTTATTCAATATCTAGCATACAGATTTCAGACTAAAAAGTATTTGAAACTAGCACCTCTGATTCTAAACAAGGAAAATGAAGAAATTTTAGCACACTGACTCCTTTGAGCCCCCGCCTTCAGCCCTTGGGGGTAGGGCTGGCTCAAA